GGGTGCTAAACAGGAAAAAAGGCAGAACGAAAAATATGACCCATCGAAGTTTGGCGAACACGCGAGTCTGAAGAGAGATTTTGTAAAACTTTAATTTATTAACTTCACCTATATGGACAATAACTTCAACCCTTTGTAGCTATAATCGTACAGCTATAACCAGTGGCGTAGCCAGACCTTTGGGGGGGGGGGGTCGAACAGTCTGGGAGGGTAATAAAGCAGAATATATAGTTAAACCAGGCACTGAAATAGCAAAATAATTAGATCTTAAAAGCTATTTATTTCTAATTCCTATTCAAATAGAAAGTTGTGAGAATTTAGAAAGGGTAAATGTATTTATTTAACTGGTCAAAATTTCCCAGTTTGAGTTAGTTAATTTTAAATTTCTCATCAGTTCATTGAAATTATATTTACAAAAATATTTATAGTCTTTGTGGACTTTGTGGAGGTAGGTATTTTGTCTCTTGACAAAACAGCATTTTTGACAAAACACCATGCCATGAATACCACCAAAAATTCTCACGACGAGCGCAGTTTGACAGACTGGTGCCTAATTTTCTTACAACGCGCGCAAAGCTTTCTATGATAGCGCAGGGCGCTGTAAAACACGGGCGGTGAAACGGCTATGGCGCCCCTGATCTATGTGTGATGCAGGTCCCCCCGCATATTTTCATTTTTATTCGAATTCGATGTGGTTTGATCAGGCATGCATGTTTGTTTTGACTTCCTTTTAAAATTACTACGTAAAAAGGTACAATTCAAGCTGAATTCACAATGGATTTGGGATCTGTGCTATTACTATAGACAAAATCTTTTTTCCGGATTCTTAATCACGGCTGATTATATGGGGAATGTTGTAGTGTGATATAAGTCTGGGATCTCACTCACGAGGATCGATTGTTTTTGCAAAACAACTTCGTTCGTTTAAAAGATGAAAAAAAAGACGAAGAAAAAGTTTTTTAAACGGCTGTTGTTGTAAAACCTGCAACTGGAATGTGTGTTTGGAAATCAGGTATGTTCAATCACATGTATTTTTGTCAAGTTCCACCAGATGAAGCGCCATAAATTGATAAAAACAGCAAGTTCTTTTTTTCAAGCGATAGTTTGTTGTCGCAGTTTTACAAGCGCGGAAAATTTTAACTTTTAAATATTTCATGCACAATATATTTAAACTAGTTTTATTTTGATGTTTTTGTATAATTTAAGTACCTAGTTTTGTAAAAATCACCAAATGAGAATGGGCTTTTTTAATTTTTAAACATTTTTTTGGCCTTGTTTTTGACATGTGCATGCCAAATCTACACATGAAATACAAGCAACTGATAGTTTGTTGTCGCAGTTTTACAAGCGCGGAAAATTTTTAACTTTTAAATATTTCATGCACAATATATGAAACCTAGTTTTATTTTGATGTTTTTGTATAATTTAAGTACGTAATTTTCTGAAAATCACCAAATGAAATGGGCTTTTTAAATTTTTAAACATTTTTTTGGCCTTGTTTTTGACATGTACATGCCAAATCTACACATGAAATACAAGCAAGCGATAGTTTGTTGTCGCAGTTTTACAAGCGCGGAAAATTTTTAACTTTTAAATATTTCATGCACAATATATGAAAACTAGTTTTATTTTGATGTTTTTGTATAATTTAAGTACCTAGTTTTCTGAAAATCACCAAATGAGAATGGGCTTTTTTAATTTTTAAACATATTTTTGGCCTTGTTTTTGACATGTGCATGCTAAATCTACACATGAAATACAAGCAAGCGATAGTTTGTTGTCGCAGTTTTACAAGCGCGGAAAATTTTTAACTTTTAAATATTTCATGCACAATATATGAAACCTAGTTTTATTTTGATGTTTTTGTATAATTTAAGTACGAAATTTTCTGAAAATCACCAAATGAAAATGGGATTTTTAAATTTTTAAACATTTTTTTGGCCTTATTTTTGACATGTGCATGCAAAATCTACACTTGAAATACAAGCAACTGATAGTTTGTTGTCGCAGTTTTACAAGCGCGGAAAATTTTTAACTTTTAAATATTTCATGCACAATATATGAAACCTATTTTTATTTTGATGTTTTTGTATAATTTAAGTATGTAATTTTCTGAAAATCACCAAATGAGAATGGGCTTTTTTAATTTTTAAACATGTTTGCCCTTATTCAGTTTGACATGTGCATGCCGAAATCTACACATGGAATAGCATTGCCTTCCACTTCGCGTTTTAAATCTGACACCCTATGAAACAAGCTGGAAAAAGTATGTTTAAACAAAAAAGCCCATTCTCATTTGATGATTTTCAGAAAATTAGGTACTTAAATTATACAAAAACATCAAAATAAAACTACTTTTCATATATTGTGCATGAAATATTTAAAAGTTAAAAATTTTCCGCGCTTGTAAAACTGCGACAACAAACTATCGCTTGCTTGTATTCCAAATGGCATTGTGCAGATTTGGCATGCACATGTCAAAAATAAAGGCAAAAAAATGTTTAAAAATTAAAAAAGCCCATTTTCATTTGGTGATTTTCAGAAAATTAGGTACTTAAATTATACAAAAACATCAAAATAAAACTACTTTTCGTATATTGTGCATGAAATATTTAAAAGTTAAAAATTTTCCGCGCTTGTAAAACTGCGACAACAAACTATCGCTTGCTTGTATTCCAAATGGCATTGTGCAGATTTCGCATGCACATGTCAAAAATAAAGGCAAAAAAATGTTTAAAAATTAAAAAAGCCCATTCTCATTTGATGATTTTCAGAAAATTAGGTACTTAAATTATACAAAATCATCAAAATAAAACTACTTTTCATATATTGTGCATGAAATATTTAAAAGTTAAAAATTTTCCGCGCTTGTAAAACTGCGACAACAAACTATCGCTTGCTTGTATTCCATATGGCATTGTGTAGATTTTGGTATGTGCATGTCAAAAATAAAGGCAAAAAAATGTTTAAAAATTAAAAAAGCCCATTCTCATTTGATGATTTTCAAAAAATTAGGTACTTGAATTATCCAAAAACATAAAAATGAAGCTAGTTTTCATATATTGTGCATGAAATATTTAAAGGTCAAAAATTTTCCGCGCTTGTAAAACTGCGACAACAAACTATCGCTTAAGGTCTAATTCCACGACAAGCGAAATGCGAAAAATTTCGAGCGAAAACACACTTGTGCGAAAATTTTCTCTCGTAGCGATTTCCACACTTGGAGAAAAAATTCGCCAAAACACAAGCATTTGATTGGTTTCGCTATTTTGTCATCCAAAACACAAGCATCTGATTGGTTTCGCTATTTCCATTTCGCAACGGAGTAGAAACGAATTCAACTACCCGGCGAAGAGAAATATTTCGCAGAGAAACATTCCAAAATCATGTTGCGCATGCGTTCAACCGTTTCGCGCGAAATTTTTCACATTTCGCTCGTCGTGGAATTAGGCCTTTACATAGGTTTAGCATGCACATGTCAAAAATAAGGGCAAAAAAATGTTTAAAAGTTAAAAAAGCCCATTATCATTTGGTGATTTTCAGAAAATTAGGTACCTAAATTATCCAAAAACATCAAAATAAAGCTAGTTTTCATATATTGTGCATGAAATATTTAAAAGTTAAAAATTTTCCGCGCTTGTAAAACTGCGACAACAAACTACATCGCTTGCTTGTATTCCATATGGCATTGTGTAGATTTTGGCATGTGCATGTCAAAAATAAAGGCAACAAAATGTTTAAACATTAAAAAAGCCCATTATCATTTGGTGATTGGCAAAAAATTAGGTACTTGAATTATCCAAAAACATAAAAATGAAGCTAGTTTTCATATATTGTGCATGAAATATTTAAAGGTCAAAAGTTTTCCGCGCTTGTAAAACTGCGACATCGCTGTGAACATTATGCAATTTGGATTCTTTTGGCGGACATTTCAGTTGCATATTGTAAGTTCGAAAAGAGAAATAAAACAACCTTTAACATAGTAAAAACGGAATTTTCTGCTTGTTCCTTGTCATTGAATATTTTCCCTAACTTTTATATTGCATTTGAATGCCTGAATATGTTAATGAAAATGTTTCCAATGTTTTCTAAATTGACAATTGTTTTCTAACTTTATCAAAACAAGGTCACAAGTTGTATCATTGTAAATTACGCAAGTGACCTGGTCATAAATCTTTGAATAAAAAAAAAAGCCCACAAAAGCCCATTTTCTAACCTTTTCAGGTCGAAAGTATAACTAATTATAGATAATTTAAATGGTTGAAGTTAACTTTTTTTCCACTCGGTCTGGCTAAAAAACTCGACTACAATTTGTCATTGCCTGAAAAATGTAAATATATTTTATGATAAAATCGCTATGCCTTCAAATAATTTCACATTTTAAAAATGCTTTTCCAACTCCAGCAATGTAATTTGCAATACTAATTAATTGCAAGAGGCTCTATTTTATAACAAGTTAATTTTTTTCCATTTTAAGGATAGATTTACCTTAACAAATTGTACTTTTTGATTGCCCTTTAAATATTTTTGTTTCTTGTTTTTGCTTCGCTTCATCTTTAAAAATCCCGCTTGATCCGCGCATTTCGCACGCTCGCGCCAGTCTCCCGTGCATCACACATGAATCAGGCAAATATTAGCGCGTTTCACCGCCCGTGTTTTACTACGCCCTGGTGCCGATTAATCTTTAATCGGCACACTGTGCCGATCGGTTTTTAACCAATCAGAATCGTCGACAGTAAATTGACTAAAATGATATTAGTTAATTTATTGAGTTAACCTCTTTTGTTTGCCTGACCTTTTCCCGCAATACCCACTCTATCCGAATTATATACTCCAATGTAGGCATACGCAGAAGAGAATGTACCGCATTATTAATTATTATACTTAATAATTAAAACTTTCCTGAAATATGTTTGAAATGTGACCAAAACTTCACACTACAGTCTCCAGTCTACACGAAGCTAGTAGCGAATCATGAAGTAGAATCACGGGTAATAGGACAGGTGTAGTGTTGTTAAATAGAAAGTTAGAAATGATATTGTACTTACTCATGTATTATAATTATGTTTAAAAGATCAGAATATTCATAACTTCTTATTTTGTTTCATAAATAGTTCTATTCGAAACAAATTCCATATCTGCTTCGTCTGCCATCGCCATGTTTACTCGTCCCAATCTACATGCTGCACGGCATTGCCGCCCGTCCTGGCAAAATAATAAGCAAGCGAGAAAAATTAAGGAGAAAATAAGAGGGTAGGAACATCGTTGTCATAAGCTGGATGCAGTGACACTTCCATATATGGCACAAACGTATCCATAACTTCCATATATGGCACAAACGTATCCTCAATGCGTTTTATAACGTTTTATTTGACGTAGGGATGACGTAATGCTGCTTCCAGCCTATGACGATTTGAATTAGTCATGTGATACATGATTGCGAAAGCCGATTCGCCCATAACGATGACACGCCCACGAAACGCCAACAATGTTCCTACCCTCTTATTTTCTCCTTAATTTTTCTCGCTTGCTTATTATTTTGCCAGGACGGGCGGCAATGCGGTGCAGCATGTAAATTGGGACGAGTAAACATGGCGATGGCAGACGAAGCAGATATGGAATTTGTTTCGAATATTAAAGAACTATTTATGAAACAAAATAAGAAGTTATGAATATTCTGATCTTTTAAACATAATTAAAATAGAAGAATTTGCTGATTGTTTGCTGTCGGGGTTATTATAATCATCGATCGTTCAGACATCTTGATGCTTCCAATCAGCATAAACTTTACAAAATTTAATATATTTCAGGGTCCAATTAAAATTAGGATCAGTAATTGATCGTTACGGGAATAATATAATTCGACTGATTCAGTGTTATATTGAGCTTTTTCATTAATTATTGAACATGAAATTACTTGCGATAGATGAACCAGGCGGAAATCGTAATCTTAGGATAAATATTAATGCCCAGCATAAAACACGTAAAAGAGCCATAACAAAAATATAATTTAAAATATTTATTTGAAAGCTAACGTTTCGTCTTTAACTTAAGACATCTTCAGAGCAATGACATACAAAGCGGAAAACACAGAAATATGAATAAATTACAACTATTTACAAGATATTATATTACAAAAGTAGAAAGAGGAATGGATCAGAGTAGAAGTAGAGGGACCGAGCTGCCCTGTAAGTTGAGAGAGGGTTTGAGTTTGTTAATGAGAAGACTTTCTCGAATGAGGAGTTTGTCTGGAGAAGAGCAACAAGAAATAATCTTAAAATCATTAAGAGAGGCGGAGTGACCAGTGCTATCAAGATGGGAAAGGATACTAGACATGGTCGGATTGCTGCTTTTACTGCCTGTTAGAGGAGAAACACCCAAATGTTCAGAAACTCGTGTGTGCAAGTGACGGACCGTTTGGCCCAAATACGTTGCGGAACAGCAACGACACGTGAAGGAATACACAACACAAGATCTTAAAGCGTTAGGAATTTTGTCCTTAAAGGTGAAGAGTTGAGACAAACGTAAAGTTGGACGAAAAACGAATCTAATATTAAGATGGGGAAAGGCCGAGGAACAAAGACGGGAGATTTGTGTGCGAATTTGAAGAGAGTGAGCGCCAGTATATGGAAGAGAGAAATATAGAACTTTCTTAGGAGCAGAATGAACAGCTGGTTTGGGTTGAGACACATTTTCTAAAAATGTTCGTACGGAGCGATCAAAAAGACGAGTTGGATAACAATTCTTATTAAGAATCTGGCGGTATAGCTCTAACTGAGCATGAAAGTTCTCATAATTGGAGCAAAGACTAAAGAAACGATGAATAAGAGAAGAAACTAAGCTACGTTTATATTGAAAAGGAATAAAGCTACGGAAGTTGGTAAACAGACCTGTGAAGGTGGGCTTTCGATAGACAGAAGTTTCGAAAACACCATTCTTCCGAGAAATGCTGATATCAAGGAAGGGAAGTGTGGAACTAGATTCAACTTCACTAGAGAATTTAATA